CCCAGCCCGGGCCGGACCCTACCCTGAGCGAACGTGTCGGCCCCGGCGGAGGAGCCGGCGGTGGTGGCGGGTGGGGAAGGGTCGCCGCGGCCAGGCGGGACGGCCTGTGCCGGAAGCCTGCACGCCTCGCGTCCGGCAGGTGAGCTGTGGGTACAGTCGCTGCCAACGTCTGCAGCGTTGGTGCTGGGCGGACGCCGGGAGCTAGCTGTTTCGGGTGTGTGGGGTACCTGCGGGAGGACACCGCCCCCGAGTGGGTCGCGGCGTGGAGGTCTTTGTTCACCTCAGGCAGGGCTATTTCTAGCCTTAAGGTCAAGGACGCGTCGCTCAGGAATCCAGGGTTGGTCTTCTAGACCTGAAACCAGTTTAGCCCAGATCACTTTCGCCACGACTCCGCTGCGACGTTCAGCGTCACCTGAACTCCAGTCAGGTAGAGGTTGATTTTTTTTTTTGTTTTTGTTTTTTTGGTGCCTGAAAAAGAAAAAAATTAACAATCGCTTATTCTCCCTCATCTTTTTCCAGTTTGGCAAACAAGTTACAGAATGTGCCTCAGCAAAGGAAACAACAATGGCCTCTCTCTGTTTAAAATTCTTAAGAAACCTGACCTCTGTCTAGTGTGGGACCTGTTTTAGATCCTAGTACTTGGGAACCAGAGGCAGGATGACTCTCGTGAGTTTCAAGGCCAGCCAGTGAGACCCCGTCTTAATAAATGAATAAATAAAATATGAAAAGGGACGAAATGAAGGATTCATTAAATAACTGAATTTAAGTCTTGTGAACGTTGCCTTTTAAATTATCTTGCTTATCCCTCAACTTTTTTAGAAAGGTTGAATCTAATCTTAATCAAATTAGTCTCCATAACAGTATAGATATAGATCAGCTACATCCTAAGATTAACTTCTTCCACAGCAGAAATACGTAAGCAGTGCATTTAAAAAAAATATGTAGCAGCTAATGCAATTTAGCTACCTCTTGAATTATTTTTGGCTTTGCGTGACCCTGTACTTAATGTCAGTATTGAATTCTACTATATTTCCTTACTGAATATTTTATATTTTGTTATGAAACATAACAGTCTCTTGATCTGTTTGCGTTTATACGATAGTTCTCTGATATATTCATAATAATAAAATTATTATTGTATTTGTGTGGGAATGTATATCCATAGACTGGGTTCTATGGATTGGCTTTCATGGCAAGTTTTTTACCTACTGAGCTATGTTATTCTCTGAGAATTAAGTCCGGACCCATACTATAACATACATAGCAATAGACTTGGATAATTCTTTTTTATATTTAAGTATAGGTAAATCATTCTGCATTTGAACATTGTGTAAAGAGAAAACAATGGGTTTTACAGCATTAAGAGCAGTGCTGAGGGTGACCTAGTAGGATCACAATTTAAAGGCCTGCCTGAGAACTACAGAGTTGGTTCAAGGACAGCTTGGGCATCATAGTGAGACCTTTTCTCAGACTAGAAAAGGAGCCGAGGATGTAGCTTAGTGCTAGCATAAATGAGACAATGGATTCAATGCCCAGTATATAAAAAAGAGAGAAGATAATCAGATACAGTTTTAAATTTTGAATGTGAGCAGTTACAAGTGTGAGTGTGGCTTAGGGCTCTAAATCTAGCCGCCAGCTGGATAGAGCCCTCACACTTCTACTAAGTGTAATTTCCATTAGTGTACCTCTGAGGCACTGCTGTTCTCAGTGCTGTTGTGAAAAAGCTTGAGATAGCCATGGTAAATTGTTAAGGACTGTTATAGTACTCTATTTCCAGAGGTAGGAAAGAAAAATTTGTTTTAATTGTGGACCCTGTGTGGTGTTGCATACTTTTCATTCTAGCACTTGGGGGAGGCAGAGGCAGATTTATCTCATGAGTTCCAAGCAGGCCTGTTCTACTTATCAAGTTCCAGGCCAATCAGGGATACATAGTAAGACGTTGTTTCAAAAACAAACAAACAAAAAAAACCTCTAAATAATGTGATTGTCCCATGAGTGGTGACTCATGCCTCTAATACCAGGACTTAGGTGGTTGTACCAGAACTGCCACAAGTTCTGTGGTAGTCTCGCATGCATGAAATCTTATCTCATAAAAATGCAAGATATAAAAACAAAACAAAACTAATGAGCCTCTCTGTGATACTCAGAAGTATTCTGTTATCCTGCCTCTTTCCTGAGTGTTGGGAATTGCAAGTCAGCAGTGGTTTTATACATACCCCAAACTCTTTACTGGGAAAGATGTGGAGGGGAAACCTACAGGTATACAAAGGGCCAATTGTATGAGAAATTAAATAGGTAAAGCTGAAATTGTAGCTCAAGAAATGTGAATGAAATTTGCTTAGAATTGCAAATCCGAGGCAGAGGAAAGTGGTTCTCTGTGAGAGAAGGGCCATCCTGGTCTATAGAGTGAGTTCCAGGACAGCCAGAGCTATACACAGAGAAACCCTATCTCAAAATCTGAATAAATAAATGACAGATTTACTGGCCAGATGTAGTGACGTTCATCTTAAAAGATAGTACCTGGGAGATAGAGAGAGTCAGACCTCTGAATTCAAAACCATCCTGATTTACAGGGTGAGTTCCTAGCCAACCAGGGTTGTAAATAAATAAAATAGCTGGGTGGTGGTAATGACACATGACTTTAATCCTAGCACCAGAGATAGAGGCAGGTAGATCTTGGAGTTCCAGGCTTATTTGATCTACAGAGTGAGTGTCAGAACAGGTAGGACTAGATACAAAAACCCTGCCTTGAGAAACCAATACATACATACATTTATGCATACAGCTTTAGAGGATGAAAAGGTGGCTCAGTGGGTAAAGCACTTACAAGCATGAAGAACTGAAGTCAGAGCTCCAGTAAATGTCAGTCCCAGAATGGGGATGTTCCTATAATCCCAGCACTTGGGAAGCTCAGATGGGCTTCTGGGAGCAAGCTGGCAAATAAGATTAGCCAAATTGGTGAGCTCCTAATTCATTGAGAAACTTTGCCTTAATATCTGTGGAGAGTGACACAGGAAGATGCTCAGTTAACCTCCAAAATTTGAACAAACATATACACTCATACAAAGGTAAAAACACAAGGCTGGCAAGATAGCACCATGGGTACTTGTTGTCCAGCCTTGACTCCTCAATTGTATCCCCTGGATCTACATGGTTGAAGGAAAGGACCAACTCCCACAAGTTGTCCTTTGACCACTGCCCCCCCCCCCCCACACACACACTAGGGCATGTTTGACGACCTCATTAGAAAAAATTTTCTTCTTTAAAAGGCAGGCTCTCTCTTTGGAGTCCTGGCTAATGGGTGTACATTTACCACATAATGTAAGAACAAAATTAATAGGTTTTTCCAAGTGTGGTCAAAACCTGAACACTTTGGGTGGAGACTTGGGCTGCCAACTTCGTGGGAGGAGCTACTGCAGCCTCCAAGAATGTGGAACTGGGCTTTTTGGTGCCTTGGTTGGAGATTCTCTGAGAGGGTGATATTTGAAGAGAGAGAGATGGGGCTTCTCAGACCATGTATAAGTGAGCCAGAGGTTCCAACAGAAACCTTTCCTGCACAGACAATATATATGTCCAGTCAACCCAGATAGGGAACTCATGACAGATCAAACTATGAATACCACCAAAGTCCAGTTTGGTGAACCAATGAGATTTAATGGTGTTACTTACAGGAATATGGGTGATGGGTTACATATAATAGAAATGATTCAATGACAGCTGCATCACCAAAGTCTACACCAGCATGGGAACCTGGAACTCACTATGTACACTGCAGGCAGCTTAACATGTTTAAGAGTGGCTTTTCCAGGTGCCACAGTTGGTGTACACCTCTTCTAGGCAGCTCACCTGGTTTTTGTTTATTCCAGGAAGCTGGTCTGGTCTTAGAGTCTTCTTTGCAGCTTTGTTTAGCTTGTTCCAGAGGAACTCCCTGGTTTTATTATCTTGGCAGGGAGGATCCCAGCAATCTAGATAGTTTTCTGGGAGTTTCTGAAGCTATTTTGAGTTGTTTACTTCTTAAACAGTTGTTTACTACTTATGGAGCTTTCCTGCAGAATGGAGTGTTTCTGTGTGGGAGGAAACATACAGCACTACATGATGATGTATCAGAAAGCTTTTATTGGTAGTATCTTGCACAAATTGAACATAAATGCTGTGTAGTGGGGTAAGATCATAATCCTAGTATATAAGGAGGCGGAGGCAGGATGATTCTGAGTTCCACTAAACAGTTGTAGGAAAACCCTGAGCAGAAAAAAAGCTAAAGGCCTTTTCCTTTTACAAGTTGCAAGATTGTATGGATAGGGTCTTATACTGTAGAGAGCATACTCCCTTTATTACATTTCACAGCAGACCTTATATCTTTAAATCAAGCCTTGGCTCCAAAATTGAATTTCCTGATACTCTTTTTTTAATTCATTTTATATATATATATATATATATATATATATATATCATATATATCTTTGTACTTTTTCATTGTAAACCTGTATAAGGTTGATTACTAATAGCCACTCAACAGTTATTGTTAAGCTGTCATGGAATATGCTCTGAAACCTCATCATCTGAACCTCCAGTAGCCCACATTGGTCTCAGCACTACTGTCTTCCAAGATCCTACTAGGATAGTCTGTTAAGCCCCACTTACAGCATTCATCTACATTCTTGGTCCAAAGTCCTCCAAAGAGCAGCATGATCAGGTCTATGTCATCAATACCCCACTCCAACTTTTCGTAGTTACTTTTCAGTTGCTATGGTAAGGAACAATAACCAAGGCACTTTACAAAATAAAGTGTTTATTTGGGGCTTATGGTTTCAGAGGTTTAGAGTCTATGACCATCATGGTGGGGAAGCATGGGAGCCTGCAGGCAGGTATTGCACTAGAAGAGGCAGAGAGGGCTACCTGGGAATATCTTGGACTTTTGAAACCTCAAAGCTCATCTCCAGTAACATGTCTCCTCCAATAAGGTTATATATCCCAAACATTTCTACCAACTGGGGACCAAGTATTCAAACAGATGAGCATTTGGGCCATCTTGTTCAAAACACCACTCAAAGCTGTTTTTGTTGCTTTTTTTTTCTTATTTTTTTAAAATGAGTTCTCTGTTTGCATTTAAGTCTACATGCCAGAAGAGGGCATTGGATCCGAGTATAGATGGATATGAGCTACCATGTGGTTGCTAGGAATTGAACTCAGGACTTCTGAGCCATCTCTCCAGCCCACCGGGGCAATGGAGCCCTTGTTGATCTCAAACTGGTTACGTAGCTAAGGATAACAGAGTTCTGATCATTATTCCTTCCTTAGTTTCTAAATGTTGGAATTACAGGCCTGTGTCACCATGCTTGGATTTTATGCAGTGCTGGGGGTTAAAGTTGAGGCTGTGTACAGAATAGGCAAGCACTCTGCAAGCTGCATTTTATCATCAGCCTGCAACACCACTTCATGAGTTAAAAGAAATACTTGAGTCTTATTTAATCTGTTAAACATCTGTGATAACATCATACTTTATGATGAGCTAAAAGTTTTTCTTTCTACATCAGGAACACAATGAGATGCCTCTGAGTCATTATTGTACCAATGGGTCTTGTGTGGATAGTTAGATGTGAAAGTAAACTAAAAGTATAGAGCTTAGAAAGAATGGAAAAAAATAGTCTTTTCAAATAAGTAAATACAAAATTGTAAGAAATCCATAAAAATGATTGAAGATCAAGTCAAGATCATCAAAGTTAAAAGATACAAGATTAGCATATGAAAATGTCTTTCAATCTGTAGTTCATTTGATTGAACTCAAATATTTTTTTTAAATTTACACTGGGTTTGTTGGACTTAAGTCTTTCAACTTTCATCTAGCATGGTAACACATTGGAAACCCTGGGTTTGATTCCTGGCACCTCTTGAAACTGAATGTCTAATAAATATCTGGAGTCTCAGAATTGAGGAGATAGAGGCAGGAAGTTCAGGAATTAGCTCCATAGTGAGTTCAAGGCCAGTTTGACAGACAGTCCCTGTCTGAAAAAGTCAAGAAATGAAACAACAACAACAAAAAATTGGCAGCTTTAAAAGTAAATTTATTTGGGGTGTTAAGTGTATTTCAACTTGGGTTTATCAGGATATAACCCCATTCATCATGGAACATGAGGACTTTAAATGAAAAGTCAAAAAAAAATTTAAGAAAAGAGCATGTTTAATAGTATCAGAAAACAGTACAAGGCAGGAGGAATGGCTCAGTTGCTGTCTTTTCCCAGGAACTGAGTTCAACCCCTAGACCCTTGTTAAAATGATGAGAGTGGTGGTGCATGCTTGTAATCCCAGAATGGAGAAGAGAGACAGGAGGATTCTGACTCTCTCAGCCAGTCTAGCCTGTAGTTTTCTCCTGTAGCTATGACTGCCAGTCTGGTGTCACCATGTCAGCTTGTTCTGTGCCTGAGGCTTCTTCCCCACTGGGGAACTAAATTGGACATGTACACTGTTTTCCTGCTTTTCTCTGTATCAACTTTCTCCATATACTTGATTTTTAGTGAATATATGGACACATTTTTATTATATTCATTTATGTCTTAGAGTTTTCTACAGAAACAAGACTTGCCCACTTTAAAGAGATGTGGTCTAGTTTTCTTCCAAAAACTCTCACCATTCATGTTTATAAAGTGTTACTTTGCTATTGTTTCTATTACCTATTATTTTAGAATTGTTTTTAAGATAAGGTATGAGGTAAAGATTAGAGTATGTTTTTCTCTATGTACCTATCTAAAATACCTGAAATATTATTATATTAATAATACCAGTCTTATTCTCCTTTGTTCTGATAATACTTTCGAGACAAGTCAGCTGATCGTATGTGAAACTCTTTCTGGTTTTGAGCCTGGCCTGTTGATATCACTGTCTTCATTATAGTATGACCTGTTTAAAATCTTGGCTATAATTATTTCTGTTTAGAATATAACTTCCAAATAGAAATAATTAATATGGAGAGATATTCTGAGTGTTATTTTAATAGGAAAACTATTTAACTTGGAAAATGCATTTAAATCTGTTTCTTTGAGGCAAAGTATCATGTTAAATATATCTTAAATTTTAGGGTACAAAATATGGAAAGTCCAGAAAGAAAAAAACAGAAGGTTTTAAAGGCCAAAAAAACAATGCCTGCAAGTTGCCGGAAGCAGTTGGAGATCCTGAACATGTCAAAGAATGTTGAAGCTTCAAAATCAACAGTTGGAACAAATATTCCAAATGGTAATCAGAGTCTATGTCCTGAACTTATAGCTAGCAAGTGTCCACATTCTGGAAATGCTGATTCTTCATTTGCCCCTCAGGATAATTCAGTATTTTCACAGAAAAGTATAGCATTCTTCTAGAATTTAATGCAATAGAAGAAATTGTTTCAGAAATAAGATCAAGAACCACTGATGAACAGGTTGTGTGTTTTTACACAAAGCCAAGACATCTACTGATTGATTCCTCCAGCAAATGTTTCACACAAGAGGCAACAGAGTTGCAGAACACTTCTGAAACTCATTTTAAATAGGAGTTTAATGTGTCAAGATCATTTTCTGAACATAAAGAGAATTACAATGACTTTATACTAAAAAGTTGATGGCTCTCTGTAAGTGCCGTAACCCAGAACACTTTGGATGGCAAGGGAATCAATAAGATAGCTTTCAGTTTAGAATCAAATTTTACTTTATAGGCTAAAGATCAAAATTAGATATTTAAGTTCACACTCCTGTATCTAAGCACCTAACTAGGTGAATTCGGTCTGCTCTAGTAATTGTGCTGATGCCATCTTGAAAACCGAAGAATGCAGTAGGACCTGTCACTCTGGCCGTTTAAATTGTGAGGGGCATACTCAAGTGGCAATCGTTACTTGGCCTTGATGGTAGTAACAGTAAGTGTATGCCTCTTTGTCTTTTGGAGAAATTCAAATAGTCACTTTTCTAACGGGTCTTTTAAAGTCTCAAACATACAACAAAGTGGAGTACATATAGATAGGACAAAAAGTAAATGATGCCTATGTTTTCAAACTGTTTTGTTTGTAAGTTGTTCTTCATTCTGAGAGGGAAAGATACATTGTTAAAGGGAAAAATTATGATTAATCACTTGGTTTTATTTGCAGTGCTAGAACTGGTCAACGGGCAGGACCAAATATTGTTCATACGAGCTCTTTTCTGAGGCTGGAAGTATGTGTAGCTCAATTGGTAGAGTGACTGCCTAGTGTGCACGGAGCTCTGGGCTTAGTCCCTAGCACATAAAACTACATTGTGGTTCATGCATGCCTGTAATCCAGAGCACTGAACAAGTAGAGACAGAAAGATCAGAAGTTCAAGGTCATCTTCACCTACAAAGCAAATTTGAGACCACTCTAGGCGTGAGACCCTGTATCTAAACAACAAACCTTCCTATCACGTGGGCAGCCTAAAAGTATAGCTAAAGAAAAGGAGTTAGATACAGAAAAGAGGCAACCTGATTGGTTAGTTAGTGTGCGTCTGTTTTATTTGATCATTTAGACATCTTTGAGTTTTGGAAGTTTGTTTCCCTAAAAGTATGTTACAGAGGCTGGAGAAATGGCTTAGTGATTAAGAGCACTGGTTGCTTTTTTTGGAGAACCTCAATTTGATTCCTAGCATCCACATACTGGCTCACAACCATTAACTCCAGTTCTCGAAGATCCAATCCCAGGGCATCAGGCACATACGTAACACTGACGATACTTAAACATACATGCCAAAAAAAGGTAAACTGCAGTCTGTTTTACACATCAAGTTAAAATTGTAGTTTACCACATACAGAAAGAAAGTTGAAAAAAAAAAAAAGTTGAAGCCCAACTACAAAGGAAGTATGCAGGGAGCCTTAGGTCAAACTTGGTTTAATTTAATGATGTCTACAATATCAAAAGGAAAATGAAATGTTACTCAAAAAAGAGGATTAATCACTTTCCCATGAAAGTTCAGAAAATCTCAAATTTATGGAAGATGGCTCATTTTAGCTGTATCTCATTATTTTAAATTTTTTTGTTAGATTGTAGATTTTTATTAACATTAATTATACATAATGGATTTCATTTTGACATTTTTATACATGCATGAAGTACTTTGAACATATTTGCCCTCTACCCCATTACCATCTCTTATCCTCTGATGATTCCCAGCCCAACAAGAGGGAAAGGGTTGAAACCAAGTAATCCCTCTTCTGTGTGTTTGCTTGTTGTCACCCAGTGAGTTTAATTAGTGTTTCTTAAAGTAACATGTATATCTTGCTAGTGGGTGTACCAGTAAATTAAACGTCTCCCTCTCCTTCTCCAAACATTAACTGCAATAGCTCCATGGAAGGTGGAGCTTTGAAAGTCCCCCTAGAGAACAGGTACATTAAGTTATTGGTGAATCTATTTCCATAGAAGTGATTTTTAGATCATATGCCAAATAAGAGATGCTTGATGTAGTTAATTCATATGCTTGTGTCTATGTATATGCCTAACTATAGAGAGCTACCTGGAGAGAAAACAACTAATTAAAAAGAAGTGCTGGAGTTATAAAATAATTATATAACATACCATTTGAAGTAGGATTTTTATGTTGGTTAACTGAAATGCTGATTAGGGCCAGCAAGATGGATCAGCAGATAAAGGTGCTCTCTTAAAAGCCTGGTTGCCTGGGACCCACATAAATGTGGAAGGAGAGAAATGACTTCACAAACAAGTCCTCTGACTTCCACACTCTGTCATGGCATTCACAGACACACACACACACACACACACACGTACACATGAACACAGTACATAGAATCTTTTGTTTATGTTCAGACTCAATAATCATAAATATAATTTAAATTGCTGAATAACTTCATCAAAGTAATGGGTTCTTTTAGTGACTATATAGAGTGGCGTATACAGTTTATTTAGGGTTTTGTTTTGTGTTTTGTTTATGTATTTGAAAGGTTTTGTTTGTTTTTAATATTTTTGTTTTGGTGTGACAGGGTCTCACTACATAGCCCAATCTGGATTTTGAATTCTTGATTCTCTTACCACTTCCCAAATGCTGTAATTTGAAATATGTGCCTCCTTGCCCAGTGGTTATCCTTGTGAAACAAGATTGAAAAGGGTTTATATCTGAGACCAGAATACTATCCAAAATTTCTTTTTCAAAGAATATTTTAGGGAAGTGTTTTTATGTAGTTACATTTACTTTAAATATATGTATTTTAAGATAGAATCTGGCTATGAACCTACAGAGATCTGTCTTTACCTCCTGAGTTCTAGGATTAAAGGCATTAACCACCATACCTAGCTAAAAATATTACTAATTAAAAAATTTTTAAGTACGACTGTTGTCATATTTTAGTTTTTCTAATTAGAGTTTTTATTTCCTTCTTAAGAAGGAATAGTTTTACCTGTAATGTTTCTATCTCCCAAAGGCCATAATCAAAAGAAGATGTTTTCAGAAAACAAAGAAAATGTTAAACTCATGAAAACTTCAGAGCAAATTAATGAAAATGGTTGTGTAGCTCTGGAAAGGCATACAGCACTACTAGAACAGGTAATGTTGGGTTTTAAATATTTGCTTTAGAAACTTAAACTTCTGATTGTAAAAAATGTTGCAAGGGCAGGAGAGACAGCAGAAGTTAAGAGCACTTGCAAAGTTGAGTTCAATTCCCAGTACCCATTTCTGGTGGCTCATAATCTATAACTCCAGTTCAGGGATCTGATACTACCTCTTCCCTCCCTCGAACATAACCTCAACCAACACACACACCCCTTTACAATATGTCTTAGTTAAGATTATTGTGATGAAACACCATGACCAAAAGCACCTTGGAAAGAAAGGGTTTATTTTGCTTATCCTTTGATTCATAGTTCAAATTCCAGGAAAGTAGTCAAGGCAGAAACCTGGAGGCAGGAGCTGATGGAAACCATGGAGTGATGCTCTGTACTTGCTTGCTTCACATGGCTTGCTTAGCCTTCTTTTTTTCCAGACAGAGTTTCTCTGCATATTCCTGACTGTCCTGGAACTCACTCTATTGACCAGGCTGACCTCCAACTCTCAGAAATCCACTTGCCTTTGCCTCCTCAGTGTTGGAATTAAAGGTGTGCACCACACGTACTAACCAGCAGCCTGCTTTCTTAGAGAACCCACCACTGGCCCAGGAGTGGCCCAACCCATAATGGGCTGCTCTCTCTCCCATGGATCACCAATTAAGAAAATCCCCAACAGGTTTGCTTATCTACAGCTCCATCTTTTGGAAACATTTTCTCAATTGAGGTTTCCTCCTCAGATGATTCTAACTAGTTTGTGTCAAGTTGACATAAACTAGTCAGGTCATAATTCAAACAAAAACATTAAGAGTTAAATTGTCTATATTACCTATATTTCTGTTTTCTGGATTGATTCTAGACCAAGTAATCTACAGAACTGCATATCTGTAAAAGTCTTGTAGAAAGAGAGAGACTTTTTAATTAATAGGCTGCCAAATGTGTAAGTCAAACATGGGATGACCTTGAGCTTTACTTGACAGTCCAACATTTGTATTGGTCATGGGTTTTTTGGTCAGCAGCAATAGCTGTTTATTGACCACATCACAGTTACTCACGATTTTATAGACTCAAGCAACCTTGTGGTCCATTTTGGAATCTTTTTTTTTAAATTTTTTTTTTAATATTTATTTATGTACTATGTATACAATATTCTGTCTGTGTGTATATCTGCAGGCCAGAAAAGGGCACCAGACCTCATTACAGATGGTTGTGAGCCACCATGTAGTTGCTGGGAATTGAACTCAGGACCTTTGGAAGAGCAGGCAATGCTCTTAACCACTGAGCCATCTCTCCAGCCCCCATTTTGGAATCTTGATACTTTCAAGTTACATATCTCCTCTTCCAGACTAACCTAGGCATACTGCTTTTTAATGCTGTTAAATATCCTTAGTGTTTTTATTTTTGCCCAATTATGTGTTTCTTTGTGGTCCATCTGTCTGATTAACTAGGAATTGAAACATAATCTTCCAGGCTAGGTATGTTGGTGCATGCCTTTAATCCCAGCACTCAGGAGGCAGATGCAGTAGGTGACTCTGAGGTCAAGGCCAGTCTGGTTTCTAGAGTGAGTTCCAGGACAACCATGCAGGACTATATAGAAACTCTGTTTCAAAGAGACAAACCAAAAAGGGAAGAAATATAATGTTCAGTTCTAGTGGAGTAGCTGTGTTCAGGTTCTGTTTTGATGGGTCTGATTGCAGTTCATCATGGTTATTATGTTATTCAATTGTTATACACTGTAGTTAATGTACATTGTGGATACAGCAGTGAGTTGGAACTATATGTATTGATATCAACGTTTGAGGATGAACTTCATTTCTAACATGTCTATTTGTGTACTTAATTATTAGATGTGCTGTGGAAAAATTAATATTCAGGTTTTTATAAGACTTACTGGTGTAGTAGTCTGTAGCAGTTTTGTCATTATAAAACATCAAGAAGGCTGGGTGGTGGTAGCAAATGCCTTTAATTCCAGCTCCTGGGAAACAGAGGCAGGCAGATCCCTGTGGATCCCTGTGAGTTGGGGCCAGCCTGGTCTACAGAGTGAGTTCCAGGAAACCAAGTTAACACACAGAAACCCTGTCTCAAAAACAACAACAACAACAAAAGAAAAAAGAAAAAAATAAAGTAATTTTTAAGCTGTAGAAAATAAGCTGGGTGTGGTGGTCTACACCTTTATCCCAGTACCTGGGATACAAAGCATGCAGATCTTTTTGAAGTTGAGGATAGTCTTGTCTGCTACAGACTAGCTGAGACGACTAGTGAAAAATCTTGTCTCAAAGTTAAGAGTGGACTGGAGAGATGGCTCAGAGGTTGAACAATGCCTGTTCTTCTAATGGACCCTGATTCAAGTCCCAGAGCCCACATGCCAGCTCATAACTATATGTAACTCTATTTCCAGGAGTTCTGATGCCCTCTTCTGGCCTCTGCATGGTGCACATCCATACATGCAGGCAAAACAATACACATAAGAATAAAAAAATAGGAGGTAAAATTGTTTTGAAATTTAAAGCATGCCTTCATTTAAATTCTAGGTTAAACATTGGATTCGACAGGAAATCTACATGATAAATTGTAACCTATTTGATAAAAAACTGAATGAACTTAATGAACGCATTGGGAAGACCCAGTGCAAGAATAAGCATGAAGCAATAGCTGGTGAGCTCTTTGTAAGTTTCTGATTTTATTTTCTTCCTTTTATTAAGTGTGGTATGTGGTCATGTCGTGTCCTTTATGTTCGGAAAGGGAGGTAATAATACAGTGATTCTTAACCTTCCCAGTGCTGCGGCCCTTTAATGTTCCTCATGGTGTGGTGACCTCCAACCATAAAATTACTTTTGTTCATACCTTGTAACTGTAATTTGCTACTGTTATGAATTGCAATGTAAATATCTGATGTGTAGGCTATCTGAGTTATGACCCCTAGCTTGAGAACCACTGCAATAAAAGGAGACCTACTAGTTTAACTTCAGACTTGAGAAATAAGTCTTAGTCCTAGTTGGCATCTGTGTCTGTTTATGGTTATCCATGGTATGTAGACATTTTTTTCCTTTCTAATATGTGCTTTATTAGAGTTTACATAATCTGTTTTAAGATTTTTCAAGCTCACTGCTTTTTTTGTTTTTTGTTTTGTTCTTGTTCTTTTAGTTTTCTAGGGTTACTGTCTTTTTTTCTTCTGTGGTAGGAGGCTGCCTATCCATTCCTGGCTGCCCAGAATTGAAGTAATTACTCAGAAACCATATTATTTGCTATACTGTTTGACCCATAGCTTAAGCGTATTTCTGGCTAGCTCTTACATCTAGAATTAACCCATTTCTATTATTTTATATTTTACCATGAGGCTCATGGCCTACCGGCAATGTTCTAGCATCTTCCCCTGGTGGCTCCATGGCATCTATCTGACTCTCTGACTCTGCCTTCTTTCTCCCAGCATTCATTTTAGTTTTCCCTGCCTGACTCTATTCTACCCTATCACAGGCCAAAGCAGTTTCTGTATTCATTAACCAAAGTAAAACATAAATAGGACTTCCCACACCATTTTCTTCTTCCTCCTCCTGTTTGTTCTTCCTTCCTTTCTTTTCCTTCCTTCCTTCTTTCCTTCCTTCCTTCCTCCCTTCCTTCCTTCCTTCCTTCCTTCCTTCCTTCTTCAGCATCAGTTTTATTGCAGACAAATTAAGTTTACTGTTTTTTTCTGTTTCATGCTTTTTTTTCTTTTTGAGGTCGGATGTGGTTATATGTAGTCCAGGTTGGCCTTGAATTCTATACCCTCCTCCTTTAAAGTCCTCTTAATTTTGGAATTGGAACCATGAACCATCCAAACAAGTCTCTTCCATTCTTAAATATCTTAAATAGCTAACCCCCTCATTTATCAGTTTTCCACATTTGAGTTTTGTGTCTATACTTAACTAACTGCAGACTGATTTTTCTTTTGTTGTTTCATCATTGATTTACATAGCCTCAACTACCCAACTGTCCTGGAATTCACTGTATAGATTAGGATAGCCTCACAATCCCAGAGGCCTGTCTGCCACTGCCTCCTTGCTGAAATTAAAGGCGTGTGTCATCACAGACAGATCGAAAATATTCAGGAAGAAAGTGTTGAAAGTGTTTCAAATGAATCCGTACCATCTTTTTGCCTAGTCATTATTCCCTGAAAAGTACCTTGTAGTAACTATGTAATAGCATTCCCATTGTATTAGACCTTATAAGTAATCTAAAGATTTTAAAGTGAACAAGAGGATATGTATGGTTTTTAACAGGTGCAGGTTTTCATATCTGTAAGACCTGGAATCATTCCTCCATGGATAGCAAATGTTGACTATGTAAGAGTTTATTATATTACTGGGGCTGGTGATGGAGCTAAATTGGAGTGTTGGCCTAGCTAGCAGTAAGTCCTGTGTTTCATTCCATCTTTATGTAGCATGCATAAAAATGGTATGCTAATGTACAACTCCATTACCCAGAGATAGAGGCAGGAAAAACTGGAAATTCAAGGACAACCTTAACTACATAGGGAGTTCAAAGCCAGCCTGAAATATGTCAGACCATATTTATTAATAAATAAGTAAATTTATAAAGTAAAGGTGCAAGCTAAGGGAATGAAAGAATAGAAGCATTCTCTGCTGGGAGTCATTGGGCCTGGAATCATGATGAAAAAGAAATGAAGGAAAAGAAGAACTTTCATTTATTAGAGTAGGTGCCTACATTTCACAAGACTACTTGTCAAATAGTTTCCATTTTTCTTTTGTACTGTTTAGAACTGTGGTGTGATGCCTAAGTTTTCTTCTAGGTGAAAATCAGAAGACTTCAAAGACGTATTAAAAAAGTATTATCATCTCAAGAAAATTGTTTGGAACCAAACACATTACCCAATAATACAGTCTGTAAGGTTCGTATAAATACACAGAGGTTTTAATCTGCATGACTTATTGGATCATAAGATGTGCATATACTTCCAAATGAGGACAGAAAGCTTAGATAACAATGTTGGTTTCTTGTTTTTAAAGTTAAATGTGAAAAATACAGAAGTGATACTGAAGGAGGGACTGTAACGAAAAGAAGCCGGTATTTGATGATCTGGGAAATTCTCAGCATGTCCAGAATACAACTCTAAAATTAGGTTTGTGGTCAGAAATAGAGCTCTGGGTATAAGGATACGTGCACCTACTACCTTTGCTGGTCTTTGGAAGGACCAAAGGTCGTGGGGTTTGTCACATGACTCCCTTTGCTTAGGCTTTGTATGTACATCCTTGCCGCCTCAGAGCTGTAGTTTCCATAGCAGTTTACTTTCATGGCTTTTGTGTGCTCTTTTGCTTGACTTCGTTCTTTGGGCTCCCCATGGTTACCTGTTGGTCCTTGCTGGTACTGAAGACTGCTGTTGGTCGCAGAGTGGATTGGGCCTGCTGTGTCTGGTGTAGAGCTGAGTGAGTGCTGTTGCTAGTCTGTGTCCTGCTGCTGACTTACATGTGGGAAGAGGGCAATTTTGCCTTTGAAGTAGATTTGACTGACTGCATTTTTGGAATGGAGCTCTGGGTATTGGTCCATAGTTAGGCTCTGCTTGCTATTGTTGCTGCAGCCACTTAGACTTCGTCTGCCCCACTGTTCATCCAGCTGCTACTGTGGTTTATGAAATGGAACCTTTGATTTTTCTGGTATTGGGATTGAGTCACCATGACCAATCACTACTACGCTTTTGAAATGAGGGCTGTAGAGATGTCTGGTGTCCTTATAATCTAGCATGGTGTATACAGTATACTTACTGTGGTCATGAGGTCTCTAGCCAGTCTCTCTCCCTTTATTAAATTTTCAGTTGCTTTGTGATTACCATTCAGTTATTTACACAGATGTAATATAGTTAAGAGTGGAGGAGAGGGAGGAAGTTAATCCATGTTACCATGTCCTGGAAGTGAAAGGACGCTGTTCAGCTTTTCTTCCCAGTGGTGCATGAACGTGTTCACATATAAAATCAGTTTACTTAGTATAATAGACCTTCAGAGTTCTGCCTTAGGGGTCTACCTTATTTTTCACGCCGCCCCTTAACAAAAGTCCATGTTCATTCTCAACTGAGGAGTGGAGTCAATCCTTTTACTCCAAGATTTAAATAAATTAACAACTGGAAGTAAAAATCACTCTAAAATATTAAACTTAGACTACTAGTTGTCTAAGTATCTCAGTATTTGTTTGCCCTGTTTTCAAAGTCTAGATTTATAATGTCATTGTTAATTTTCTTGACACATTTTGGCAGAGAAATCACCTTTATGGTCATCAGCCATCTGAAGTATAGAACTTTTTTGCTTTTTCAAGACAGGGTTTCTCTGTAGTCTTGACTGTACTGTAACTTCTCTGTAGACCAGGCTGGGCTTGAACCCACAAAGATCTGCCTGCCTCTGCCTCCCAAGTGCTAAGCTTAAAGGTGTGTGCCTCTGGCTTAATATTTTAACTTACATTTACAAGACTCTTCCGTGTGAAATTTTACCTTCTACTCACCTACTTTTTCCTTGTGCATTTAACAGATTACAGATTCAGAGACCATGAACTGGAGCTTGACCCATGGGTCAGCTAAAAGCCTAACTAAAAGAACACCTTATATGAACCCTGATCCTTGTAACTCTTCAGAAAAAGCAACTAGAAGGGTTAATTTGTCTTCAGCTTGTGTCCAGTTTGTTTCTGAAAGGTAGGCATTTCTATAAAAATGCATAAACTTATTTATCTAAATATGATTCTAGTTATATTAAGCATAAACATAGCTCAAAAATTCATATTCACATCAACGGTGTGAAGGAATTCATTTGGTTCCCTGAGCTTCTGTTGTTGAAGAGCAATTCAGTTTTGAACTGTCAGGTGATGGGTTTTGTTTTACTGCTTCCCACTTCCGTTGGACTGATTAGCAATCACTTTTGGTGCTCTCCATTCTGAAAGTATTATCCTGATACCAGCCAACTGGGGTGAACTTAGTTGTCTAATTTCATAAAGCACTGGTCTGTAGCCTGAGGGTTTTAGAAGCAAAGAAGCACGCTTGGCTTAGATCAGTGCTGTTCCAAGGGGTGTAGTGGGACATACTGATAAAATCTTTTTGTTTTCATATCTTTGAGACTGGGTCTATGTTATCCTGGCTGGACTGGGTATTTGGGACTTAACATACAGTTTTGACTCTTTAGCAGTTGCCCCAGTAACCCATACTACTTAGCTCTGCATTTTCATTCATTTTTATTTTTAATTTTATGTGTATGTTTGTGTTGTCTGTGTGGAATTACTTGCCCAAAAATGCAGTTAAGCAGAGAATGTCAGATCTCTTTCCTTGGAGCTCGAGTTCAAGTAGTTGTGAGCTATCCAACATGAGTGTTAGTAACCAAGTGTTCGGAACCTCTGAGTCATCTCTCCAGCCCCTGTTTTTAAGATGCATATTTATTATTTTTACTCATGTGTAGAGGCCTGCATTTTAGTGTTCAGTGGAGAATCTGTGAAGCACGCATTTAGTTGAAGGCAAGAGTCATCACTCAGTGAGTCTGCTGCCACCACTTATTGACAGCACAACATTCTGAAACCCCTGAAGTGACAGAAGAGGAAAGCAGGTGCTGCTGGTGCACGTGAAGAGGCAGAAGCTCTGCTGTGCTGTCACTTCACAGGCAGCTGTGTCTGCTCAGCAGTGGATACTGTCAAGTGCAGGCACTCATTTTATGTTGTATACTGAAATAATCTGTAGTTTATGTAGGTATTTTTGGCAGTTAAGCATCCTTTCCAAAGTGTACAGATAGTGTAACAAACATGCAACTTGGTCATGATGACTTTGTGTTTCTTTGTGGTTTTGTTGATTTTGTTTTTTGATTCTGTTTTTTCAAGACAGTTTCTTTGTATCTTCAATTGTCTTGGAACTCACTGTAGACCAGGCTGCCACCCCCTCTCCCACCCCACCTCCCAAGTGCTGAGATTGAAGGTACCTAAGTTTGTTTTTTGAGACAGCTCTCTATAGGCTGGCTAGCTGAAACTTGCTGTGTAAATTGGGACAGCTTCAAACTCAAGAACCCCTCTTGCCTCTGGAGTACTAGAATTAAAAAGGCATGTGCCACTAGACCTCACCTTAGAAGGTGAGTTTTATAAAATACTTACGGGAGTGATAATAACAAACACTGAATAAACTTCTGCCAAAGAATATGAAAAGAAAGACACTTGTTAAATTCATTGTATGAGAAATGAACTTTGATGCTAAAATCAATGTTAAAGTACTGTATAGATGAAGAATTACCCACAAAATTGATCCATTATCCTAAACAAAATTCTAGTAGATCAAATAGGAAAATCTGTAAAAGTTGATTGTGTCTTAGTAGTGTTGGTCAAATCCTTGAGTCAGTACAGCTCTAGTAAAATTCCTCAAGAGATAGCCCGAGCCAGGATCCCTCAACCATAATACTCTTTACTTCTGCAACCAAAGAAACCAAGGATATGTGTTGTTTTGTTTAAAGGTCATTGTGGTCTTCGATAAATTGTTATATAACCTTAGTTGAATTAGATGAGGAATATAACACTCGAGCTTCAGGAACTGAGCAGAATTAAATCCTTATAAGACACTCTAATCATCTATTTCCCCTATTCTTGTGACACACCTCTAAGTTTCACATAAGCTCTCAAGTGTATCCTATAGCCCCCTTTAAAATGTTTTATTGTGATTTTGGTCTCCTTGTCAGTCCATTGTGATTTCTAAGCACCTTCTGCTTGTTTCTTAGCATTTCTACATGGCAAAGACAAATGCCTTGTGGGGACAGCAGAGCCTTATCCCTGCATCCTCTTCTCAGTGCCTTGGTGCGTCATTTTTTCATTAGCTTAGCAACATTTTATATCATCAAAAATATTTTTGTTAATTTTCTTAGTTGAATTGTTTTTAAATATAGCATTTTAAAAAATCATTTGAATGAGGGCCCCACTGTAAGCTATTCTATATATATCAATTTATATTTATTTTGTATAAATACAATTTATTTCTTAAAATATTTTAGAGATGATCTTTTAAAGATACACAAAAGGAAATAAATATGTGCTCCATAGTATTATACTGCCACTAGAAGAAGCCTGAGGGTTTCTAATTATTTTTGTTTCTGATGACCCAGAATTGGAGAAATTAGTTCTGTTATTATTTTCTCATGCCTCTTATGGTTAGATTTATTTTAAGCATTTTATGTTTAGAATGTGAAGAAACTGGGAAATGCAATAATAAACTGAGTTGAAGACACTCACAGAGAAAGCTTATCTATAGGTCAAAGTGTGTATGCCTTTAAGAAATTCGGGTTGGGTGGTGGTGGCACACACCTTAATCCTAGCAGAGGCAGGCAAATCTCTGTGAGTTTGAGGCCAACCTTGGTCTACAGAGTGAGTTCCAGGACAACCAGGGATACACAGAAAAACCCTGTGTGAAAAAACAAAAACAGAGGGAATGGGGAGAACCCAAGAAATTTGGTTTATAAGAAATGTCCAGGATGAAAATTAAGCGTAAAGATCTAAAACAACCCAGAACAGGCCACACTACTCATCCTATTGTTACTCAAAGAAGTAAATCTTGCAATGCATGTGTAGACATTTCTGTGAAAATTTACAGGATTGGAGGGCCAGGCGTGGTAGCACTTGCCTTTTACTCCCAGCCAGGGCTACAAAGATCTCTCAAACAAAACAAAATGGTAAAAACATGCTTGTCCTAAAGCCTGATGATCTGAGTTTGATTTTTGGAGCCCACATAAAGGTGGAAGGAAACATCCCACAGAGTTGGCCCTCTGACCTATATGCACACCATGGTATTCACAAGCATACACATACACTCACATAATAATAATAAAGCTTAGGGCTAGAGAGGTGGCTCAACAGATAATAGCATTTGCTATTTTTTCAGAGAAACCTGGATTCAGTTTTCAACGTGCACATGTGTAGTTAAGATTTTTCTTTGTACCGGTGTCTTTATGAATGTTCAGCCTTAGCTTAGGCTCCTCCCACTGCTCTTTTAACTGGATTGAACCTGCTTCTATTCATCTAGGTTTTGCCTCAGGACTTTTGACCTTTCTTTGATTCTCCTGCTTCTTCCAGGTCTGTCTGTCTGACCCCTAGAGTCTCCTTGTCCTCTCCTTTTCTCTCTGCCTTGAGCCTGAGCTCCTCCTCCTTACTCTATGCCTGGAAGTTCTGCCTCTACCTCCTTTCTCACTATTGACTGCTTTTTATTAGACCCATCAGGTGCCTTAGGCAGGCAAGGTAAAACAGCAACACATCTTTATATAATTAAACAAGTGCAGCAATCTTTACATAGTTAAACAAGTATTTCTCAACATAAACAAATGCAATACATCTTTGCATAGTTAAAAAATATTCCACAACACTCATGACATCTTACCAGCATCTGTAACTCTAATTATAGGCACTCAACACCCCTTTCTGTCATTCACAGGCACCAGGCACATATAGAAATATACATACATGCAAGGCAAAACACAAACACTTAAAAAAAACTTAAAAAAATTATAAAGCATAAAAACACTGCTTTAAACTCAATATTCCATCCCTTTTCTTCCTTCCATCTTGCTGGTGTTAGACTCTACCACCTACCTACATCTCCAGCTCTTATTTAATCTCTAAAATTTGTACCTATTTTACAGACAAGTAAACCAAATATACTAGTAAATGGCAAGTTAAGATTGAGATCCAGACATTTAATCTCTAGAATTGATGTTCTTAGCTTCCATATAATTTCCTGGAGAAATTATTAATTTTATACACATTTTTTTTCTCTGCGGTAAAATATAGATAGAAAACATTCAACACAGTCACACTACTATGAAAACCCATCAGGATACCCTGTTCAGCTATGGCCCATGCACAAAATTCTGCTACTGGTAGCAATCAGTAGTACTGTTTCATAAAGGTTACATGTCACTATTTTATTACGTCTTTGTGTGTGTGTGTATGGGTGTGTATATGTTATGGTTTCTATTGCTATGATGAAGACATCATGACCGTGACAACTCTTATAAAGGAAAAACATTTAATTGGGCGGGCTTACGTTTTCAGAGGTTTAGTCCATTATCATCATGGTGCAACATGATGGCATGTATGCAGACATAGTGCTGGAAAACTACCTGAGAGTCCTACATCTTGACAAGAAGTTGTCTGAGAAATTGGGCGTGGTTTGAGGCTATATGAGACCTCAAAGCCAATCTCCATAGTAACACACTTCCTCCAATAAGGCTACACCTCTTAATACAGACTTCCAGTATTAGACAAGCATGGGTAAATATATTTTTGGTTTTATATATAATGCACATAGAAAAACTTTTAGACAAGTCTCACTGTATAGCCCTGGTTGAGCTAGAACTTGTTATGTAGACCAGGCTGCCTCTGCTTTCTGAGTGCCAGGATTAAAGGTAAGTACCACAATGTCTGTCTGAAAAAAACCCATTACAATTTGAAACAACACTATTTAAGTACTGTCAGTGCACATAAGGGGTAAACCCAAATATTCATAAACCTTAATTAGACCACAAAGTAATTCCAAATTATGGGAGACCTAAATAAATGGTATTACATTCATGACTTAGAAAGCT